AGAATTGAAAGAGCGGGTAAAAGGTGTAATAACACCTCTATACCAGAGAGGCTTTTCAGTGCAATGAAATGTTGCATGGGATGATATTTAAATGCTTACATGTTTCTTAATGGAATCATAACAATAATTAGTGATTTAATTTAATTCACTGTGATTCCTGCAAGAAGAATTTCTAGCACACTGTGAGCATTCACCTTACACACTCCTGTTTCATCCCCTGATAGTCCTCTTTCTAACTTCACTGTTTGATGGTGAGGGTGACAGCTTCATGCAGCCAGCTACCGATCAATGGCAGTATTAAAATAATGGTGTTAACATTCAACCCTTTGGCAATCTGTGCCCAGTGTATCAGCTCTGACTCATTTACTCTTTTAGTATGAATACATATAGATTTATATGTAGTTTTAACTCTCAGCAGGACCCTGTTCGAAATCATGATGCCCACCAGTAATACTCCCTTCCTGGAAACAAAAACAAATCTGTAAATACAGGGAACATTACCCACAGCCTCAAGAGTCCCACATGACTTCTAATATACAGAAAAAAATAATAAATAACTGGACTCAAAGTTAGATCTAGTTTTCTCTTTGGCACTTACCTGTGTGGCTTTTGGCAGAGATGATCTCTCCTCTCATTCATAAGCTGTTATGTTTGTGTGCATATATGTGCAGAATCAAAGGTAAAAATTGCCTGGTCTATCATGTCGTATAAAAAGCAAATAATGTCAGAAAGGTGGCAAGGTAGATAGGATCATTACTGGTGATTCAACAGCACAGTGGTGACAATAGGATTGAACCCTCAGATTTTCTTGATTAGGACTTCAGCAGGTGTCTGCTCAGTATTAATCTGTGCATACAAATGCTAGCGCTATAGAACACCCTGGAACAAAACCGTAGGAAGGAGCTCTCACATAATCAGCGAGCGTGGAAAATACAGGAGTGTGTGTTTCTTTTGAAATGAATAGGCATAAATTTAACTGGTTAAAAAAATAGATGGCCAGGCCTCTGTTGTAATCATCCCATATTTGTATTCATGAAGCAGAACTTCATGCTTTTTCATCTTAAATTTGAGATTTCTGTGGAAAGAGAGGGGGTATGATGGGCTGCTTTGCAGTGTGTGGTTTGCATTGTGAGGTTTGCTCATTCCCTTCCAGACAGTAATCTTAATGTTTCATATTTTGAAGATGCTGCAAAGGACAAAATGAGACAGAGTTTGGAATATCAGATGAACACAAACGCTGGAGTTCTGTAAGGGACATAGGAATCTTAAATTCCATGTCAAGAGCAGAGAGTTAGACATTTACATCTGATTTAAAGAAGTTTAAGTTTATGTGTGGATAGGATGAACAAAAGGGGTGTCTATGGATTCAGGGGGCTTATCAGTAAAGGCTTACCAGCCCTCCTTTAGACTGATTTATTCATTGCATTAATTTAGGGCACAATATGGAAAACGTGTTTTTAAAAGCAGAACTCAAGCTGGACATGGTGGTGGTGGTGGTGGTAGCACATGACTATAATTTTAGAACTTAACTGGGGCAAAAGGACTGCCATGAATTCCAGGCTAAGTGGGAGGTCTGCAACTAATGGATGGATGGACAATGGATGGGTTGATGGGTGAATGGATGGATGGATGGATGAAATAATGAATGGATGGGTAGATGGATGGATAGATGGACACAAGGATAGATAGATACATGAATGGATGAATGGATGTGTAGATGGATGGGTTCATGGATAGACAGACAGATAGATAGATAGATAGATAGATAGATGAATTAGATGAATACATGCATGGATAGATAAATGGATAGACTGATGGATGAATATAAGGATGCATGTGTGTATCAGTGAACCATTGGTCTGTTTCCTCTGACTGACAGTAAAGCAACTCAGGCAAAGATAGCTCTGAGGTCCTGCTCCCCCCTCCCACTTCCTGGATATTTCCCTTTCTGCTCAGTAAGTACATGCTGTTTGTTGTCATGGTTTTTACCCCTTGTCCTCTGAGATCACTCATCAAACTCAGTTTACTTTGTTTTTCCTTCTGTTCATGTGTTTGCACATATGGCATTGCCATCATGTGTATATGCATGCTCATGCATGGACTCACATGCATGTGTGCAACCATTTAGAGAGCATACATTGCCAAGAAACTTTCTAAACTCCCATTTTACCTCCTTCGTTTTCTCTTAATCAAAGCCAGAAATTGCCAGTCAACTAGTCTCATTAGCCAGCTTGCTTCAGGGAATCTCCTGACTCTACTTTTTCTGGAGTCACCATGTGGCACTGTTTTAATAAATTTTAAGAAAGCAAAATACAAAAAAAGGCATAGATATTTCTAAAAAGATTTATGTTTATTGTTTTTAGTTTTGTGTGTATGTCTGCATGTGCAACATGAGAGAGAGTAAGTGTTTGTAGAGGTCATAGGTGTTGGATCCCTAGAAGCTGGAATTACAGACAGTTAGTTGTGTCTTCTGTAAGAGCAAGCTCTTAACTGCTGAGTCACCACTTCAGACACAGTTCTCTAGTGAACAGGATACTGATTTTGTGCAAGATAGCAAATACTCATGAAAGCAGTACTCATCTCACATTTTAGCACAGGACTAGGTGTCCCCAAGGATCCTTAAGTCCATCTCAGCCACTACCCTTATCCTTAACCATGCATTTAATCTTCAAAGGTTTCAGTTTTATCTATTTTGCGCTTTGTACACACAAAGAAGCACATGGTGTACTCTTCTGTGTCTGGCTTATTTTACTCAATATTGTGTTTGTGCAACTCATCCCGAGGTGAAGTAGGATAGTAGCTAGTTCATTCTCCCTTTTGGACACAATCCATTGTACAAATACATCTGATGTGTTTATCCATTCTACTCCTAAGAAGCACTGCGTGTTTGCTTTCATTGTCATTTCTATCTGATGGGATTAGTGTTATTTTGAATACACTTGTGCACCCTTTGGTGTGCATTGCTAAGCATTTTGTTGAATAAATATATAAATAAATATATGTATATATGGCCTTGGTCCTTTGAAGTACCTTTGTGTAGACAGAGTATGTATATATATGGCAGTGTATCGCATGTACTTTTCACTTTAATTATATATTACCAAAGAGTTCTCTTAAGCAGTTGAATCAGCAGCATGCAAGAGCTCCAACTGCTCCCCAGCACTGCCAACACTTACTATTTTCGTTTTAGCTTTCCTGGTAGATATGCAACGGGATCTCATTTGTGTTTCCAATTTGCATCTTTTCATCAGATAATGAAGCTGAGATCCTTTCCATATGCTTATTGGTCACTTGAATATAGTCCTCGATGAAGAAGTTTCTTTGGCCTATTTTCTGCTTTTCTCTGGAGTTTGGGGAATTTTAAAATGTTCTGGTTGTGAGTCCTAGTTAGACAAGCATATTACAAACACATTCTACCACATACTGCTTCATGCTTGTTATGCCATTATGGGTTTGTTTTTATTTTTATGTGTTTTTTTAAAGAATGATTTATTTTCATTGTGTTGCCTAGTTTTATGTCAACTCCATAAAAGCTAGAGTTATTTGAAAAGAGAGAACCTCAATTGAGAAAATGCTTCGATGCAATCTGACTGTAGGGAATTTTCTTAATTAGTGATTGATGTGGTCGGGCCCAGACCATTGTGAGTGTGGCCACTCCTGGATTGGTGGTCCTTGGTTCTATAAGAAAGCAGGCTGAGCAAGCTGTGGAGATCAATCCAGTAAGCAGCACCTTCTATGGCATCTGTATCAAGTTACTGCCTCCAAGTTCCTGCCCTGCTTGAGTTTCTGTTCTTACTTCCTTCAGTGACAAATAGTGATTTGGAAGCATGAGACAAACACTTTCCTCGCCAAGTTGCTTTGGTCATGGTGTTTCAACACAGAGATAGAAATCATAACTGGAACATTTATTTCATGCATGTGAGTGTTTTGCCTGCATATATGAATATGCACCTTGGACATGTAGTATCAATGATAGGTAGATCCCCTCGGATGGTTGTGAGTGGCCATGGCCATGTTGGCACCAAGCCTTTACTCCAGCCTCCTGATCTTATGAGTGTGAGGAGGAAACTTCTGGGATATTTCCTAGGTTCACTCCTTGGTCCTTTGAAGTACCTTTGTGTAGACAGAGTTTGCTCACTGCTCTGCAGTGAATTAATGATGCAGAATAAGCCTTCTAACCAAGTTTTGTAAAAAGACAGTTCTGGCTGCTTTTATGCTTTCAAATTTCCATACTGTCTGGAAGCAGCCTGTAATTTGCCTTTCTTTCAAACATACGTGTACAAATAGGCAAACACCCACATGTGTCAGCACAGCTGATTAAACGTTTGAAAATTAGTAATTCAAGGTACCACTCTACCAAAGAAAGAGAAAATACCAATATTTCAGTACCACAAACATTTTGAATGTCATGATCTATTACAGTATTTTAATTATTTTTATGATTATAATATTCTCAGCTATTCTTGCTACTTTCTATCTTATTATTTTGTGCATGACTTTCCTTACCTCTGATACCATATTTTATTCTGGATGAGAAATTCACATCTATCCATGTCTGTCTACGGGAGTTCATATATATTCACAGAGATGGTCTTACTTGGCTTGAACACTTGGCCATGGTGCCCATAGGATGCCATCTTCTTTTCCAGTGGTTCTATGCCTTCATTTCCACGTCTCAGGATTCCTTCATGTCCTTGCTTTTTCTCTGTGCTCTGCATGGGCCTTTTGTACTGATTCCTCTTAAGTCCCACTTTCACAGTCCTCACCATGCTGGGTGTCAGCCAGAAGAGCAAACCAACTCCCTAGACACAAAAATCCAGATGAGGGAGAGTTGGCTGTGTAGCTCCCAACATTATCAAATGGAGAAATATGTTCAATGAAAGTCAACAATCCACACAACCTCTTGCTGGAAAAGGGGTGAGGCTCATACTGCTTTCCACCAGTTAGAACGCTGACCCCCTAAACTTCTGTGACTTCATAAATCTCTCAGTAGAGTTTCATAACTACACATCTGCAAGTCAAGTGGATGGCCTCCTCCACACATCATGAGAATCACCCTCACCAGGTCTGTAACTGGCAGCCTGTCTCTAGCCTACCTTGTGTAATAGTGCATCTCTGGAGATCAAAGTATCCTTGTCAATACCCTGTACAGCTGTCAAGACCTTTCAGTAGCCTCACCCCAGCTTTGTCTTCCCCCCTCTATTCTCTGTCTCCCCCTTACCTCTCTGTGGCATAGCATGTTATACTGAAGATCATGATACTTTTTATTATACTTTGACAATTTAATAAGGTGTGCATGTAAATGCCTAGGAAAGTGCCTGGCACACAGTAATTACTCAGCAAGCTCAGTAAATGTAAATCTTTGTTATGGTTTGTTGTAATCTCTCCCCAAATCCATGTGTTGAAGGCTGGGTCCCATGTTTGTATTCCTGGGAAATGGCAGAGTCCTTGGGAGGCAGGTCCTTCTACAGAGAGCATGCCCCAGAAGGATAGTAGAACTCTTCTCTCTCTCTCTCTCTCTCTCTCTCTCTCTCTCTCTCTCTCTCTCTCTCTCTCTCTCTCTCTCTCTCTCTCTATCTCTCTCTCTCTCTCTCTCTTTGCTTTTTGATTACCCTATTAACAGCTTCCCCTTTTGCACATCCTTACGCTGCCACATTGGAGGGCCAGAACAATAGGCTCCCCTAATCTTGGACTAGAACATATAGAACTGTGGACCTGGATAGCTTTCCCTTTCTATGTTAATCATTTCAGGTCATTTGTTTCACTAATGGAAAGTGAATGACAATGTTAATATTCATGACAACTTGATTTTCAGCATGAAGAAACATTCGATTCCCAGAGCTCATGCAGTGCCCTCCCAATTTAGTTTAAATTTTGAACTATAAAAACAAGACTTAATCTATATATGTAGAGCAGAGGGATCATGCAGCCAGCATCTGAGATGAGGGAACCTCAATTGAGAAAAATGCTTCCATAAGATTGAGCTATGGGACATTTTCTTAATTAGTGATTAATGTGGGAGTACACAGCCCATTGTGAGTGGTGTCATCCCTGGGCTGGTGATCCTGGGTTCCATAAGAAAACATGCAGCTGCACCTGTCAATGGTTTCTGCAACAGTTCCTGCCTCCAGATTCCTGCCCTGTTTGAGTTCCTGTACTAAGACTCTTCAATGATTGTGGAAATGTAAGCCAATAGGCTTTTTCCTCCCCAACTTGTATTTTGATCATGGAGTTTTGTTGCAGCAATAGAAACCCAAACTAAGATATAGCATACTTTCATTTAAACTGTATATATGTGTCTTCACAAGTTCTTATATGTTGTATGTGTATTTTTAAAGAAATATAAGATAATGTGTGACTACAGTAAGCCTCAAGCACTGCCTTTAGAGATTTACCCCACAACTAGAGAAATTAGGGCTGATTTTCCATGAGTGAACTTCACCCTCTACCTCAGTTTTCTAGAATACACACAGTTTCTAATGAGCTAATGTAAATGTTATTATAGCGCCTTTTCATTTACTTCATTTTAGTTTAGACACTAACCTTTAGAAGTTATCTTTGGAGTGGATAGATAGATGCTTAATTAATTGCAAGTCCCCTTCTCCATCTTGCCTAGAATATCTGTGAAATATTGAATTACCAGATCCCAGAAGTCCAGTGAAAAGATGATAATGAATTTTCATCAGCCTCAGCCACACACTGACTTGGTTTAGGAGCTGGCAATGTAGGTCTTTTATTCTCTTGGATCTCCTCAGCTTGTTTTCTGGACTCTAGTCAGGAGGCGGGCTTGTGATGCTTCTATATGCTTGTTAATTAGCACATATGAAGGCTATCTTTGCTGGAAAGGCACAATCAAGTCAGAACAAATCATGTCCCAATAAAATAAATAAAAGCCGAAAGCTGTGCTTCCTCATAGCCCTAAAGGTTTCCACATACCTTCCTTTTCCTGCATTGCAGATCCCTAGCTCTATCCTCTGCAGAACTGGGTGGGACTAGACCCCTTCCATCTCCAGCCAGCTTCCTCCCTTCCTGACCTATAATGAACCATCATCCACAGCCCCACTGGAAGTGCATTTTTCTTTCTTTTGTTGTAAACCCCTTTTAGCTCATTGAGTTCACCTACTGAGCTTCAGAAAGGGCCTTTGGAAAGAACCAGGGCCTAATTACAAGTAGGTTCCTTCCTGTCTTTTCTCTCCTGCACTAGTACCCCAGGTAGGGTGGCAGAGTGAAGTGTGGGTTGCCACATTCTAACCCCACCCTCCAAATACTTGGGGGATAATCAAAGTGGAGCAGCTGTGGCCAGTGCTTCCCACAGGACTCACAGTCCTCTGTCTCTGGGAAGATGACTTGGTTCTCGTCACCCCCTGTCCTTTTTGTCTTCTGATCACATCTTGCTTTTGCATTGAAGTGTGCAATAGAATTCCCCTTCTCTTTGTTTTCACATGTAAAAGGCGTCTTTCTAAAGGCAGACACTAAGCACTTGATACCAGGAATAGAATAGATTTTGTTAGCAGATCTCATAATCCCAGAATGGCACTGGGCCTAGGGTATTTAATTTTATGTTTCCAGGGAGGCAGTCAAACAAACTGCTCTTCTTTGAATTCTCCTCTTGGCCCCAGGGTTTCTTGGAGCCTTGCCTCAGTTTCCTAGTCATTAGAGTGAGGCCAATGATAACACCTATCTCAGAGTTTTTACAATAAGAATTGACTTCATTCATGTAAACCTCTTAGCACATTGTCTAACATAGACTAAATGCCCACTAAAGATTGTATGTATTATATAAAGATACATGTAAGAGAGGGTGAGCATGCAGCTCTAACCAGGCTAGCCTAACATAAGTGAAGTATCCTCTCATAGATCTCTAGCACAAACGAGGTGTGGCAGCACATGCCAATGACCCCAACTTTAGGGAGGTGAAAGCAGGAAGATTGGAAGTTCAAGGTCACCATTCACTCTGTAAAGTTTAGACCAGTCTGTGCTGCAGACCCTGTCTCAAAAAGAAATAACAAAGTCTTAATACATGAAAGCAAGTGGAATATATTGTGATTCCCCAGGAAGTCAAGTTGTGATGTCATTCTCAGGCAAATTATCCAACGTCCAACTGTGATGGCAAAGTAAGGACTAAAGACCAGCGTCATGATTAATATACAAAAGAAACCAATTTGAAGAGAAAACCTGAATGTCCTTTCACACATGGGTATCATGTGAGATATAGGGCATGACCCAGAAAAGCCAATGTTGTACTAGTGCAGGGGTGTGTGCTGCGTAAATGTTCTATGAAGGGCCATGCCTCTAATGGCCCAGGGATCTGAGGGCCTTTTCTCTACTTCCTCATCCTCTCTCATTCTGAGGAGTGCTTCCTAACTATATCTATCTTAACTATGTGTCCCTGGTCTACTTCAACAGATCCCAGGACTCAGATCCATGTCTACACACAATAACTGTGCACTTTCATTTCCTCTTCATCTAGAATAAAAACTCTTTTCTGTTGTTGCTTTCAAGTAGTTCAGCTAGAACTAACATCACAGCTTGACTGTAGCAAGCATTGTGTTCTAAGGTGCTGGGCTATTACAGGACTCAACTCTAGAGTCATTGTGCTCCAATCTGGAAAGTTCTACTTGCCTTTTATTGACCTCTATCCAGAATTTTTTTTAAAAAATATGGTTTAGTTCTCTGGAGAGAAAGTGAGAAATGCATCAATCTGAGAAAGTGTCAGCTTTGCTATTTTTTTGTAGATGAAACTAAATAAATAGATAAATCAAAGCAGGCATGAAAGATGAAGTAGAGATAATACCAATGTGAAGCAAAAGTCTCCATGGCAGGGTTTCAAAGGTTTAAATATTGGGGGTTTGGAATTCTGAGCAGTGACACTGAGTAGGAATCAGAAATGCAGGATTCTGAAGCAGGATGGGACACGATGTGGTGTGTGACAGTATAGATTACTCTTCTCATCTAAAACTAGGTATGATGAGCCATCTCCCCAACAGAATTTTGGAGGCAGTATAATGAATTGAGGTGTGGGAATTCTCTCCAAACTTCAAATGCTCAGCGACACAGTCATTTAGCTGTCATTAGTCTAGAACACATGATGCCACCCCTCATCACTGTGGTATGTTATTTAGAAGAATCTTGAAGCAAAATGCTCAATTTATTAGAACATCACCCAAAAGCTCAAACAAATTTGGACAAAGAGCTCATACTAGAAGATGCTGCCCAGTTTTTTGTTGTTCTTGTGCCTTTTTTTCTTTTAAATCTTCTTCTCATTCTTAGTAAAAGCAACTAGAACTCCCTTTGTATGCATCTTAGTCTGTCTTCTAGTATATCAATATATCAGTGATATACATATATATACATTATAAAGAAAAAGGTTTATTGTAAATCATGTCTCTGAAGACTGAAAGGGGCCATATCTGGTGATAGCCTTCTTGCCAGCAAACTCAATAGGTACAGGAAACCATGTGACAGAAGATGACAACAGTGTATGCATGTGTCTCTTCTAGTCTCTATCATCTTACAGTGACGGGAACTCCATCTTTCTGAGTTTATTTAACCCAGATCTCTCCCTGGAGGTTCTACTTCAAAATACCACAATTAGATTGTGTTTCTATCTACCATTGTATCCTGGGGATGAGATTTCAGGATGTGAACATCCAACCACAGCGGTATACAGATATTTTTCTGATATAGACATAGAGCGCTGAACACACTTAAAACTGAATTGTTTGTTCAGCACTGACAACAAATAATGACTAAAACAACAGTGAAGTTTGACCATGATAGAGAAAATGCCAGTGTGTGTGTGTGTGTGTGTGTGTGTGTGTGTGTGTGTGTGTGTGTGTGCGTGCACACGTGGTTTTTCAAGACAGGGTTTCTCTGTGTAGTTTTGAAGCCTGTCCTGGAACTTGCTCTGTAGACCAGGCTGGCTCTTGGCTTTTGATATGTAAGCTTGAATCAAGCTTCTCAACTTTGAGGTCTGAATAGCAGTAGCTTGTGGAGTGGTTAAGAATACAGAGGTTAGCTCAGATGAGATCTCTCTTGGCATCAGTGACCTTATCCGTACAATGG